AGACTGGGCGGACCCTCCCACGTTATCGCCGAGCCCCGCCCCCGGTCAGCCTCAGCCCGGCCCTGCCTACTCGCTCTCCCCAGCTCCTGAGTGGTTCGAAGCGAAGCAGGCCCGCCCTTCTCAACGCCCTTTGGCGAGCGCCAAAAAACTCCCGACCCCTTCTTGGCGCGTCTCGCCTGAGCCCACTCAGGCGGGATATAACTTACCGATTGGCTAATGCAGCTGCAACTCCCGCCTTTCTGAGCTGTTCCCGGAGCTCCCCAAGCCCCCAGCCCTCCCTTGTTGGCAGCGTCTGGCTGGTGCAGAGGTAACGGCGGCCGAGGAGGTACTTGGGCGGGGCGGTGCTGCCTCTGCTGTTGCCATAGCAATGCAGTTGTCTTGGAGATGAGCACCTAAGTGCCCGAAGCTTAAATGTGGCTCCTCCATCCTCCCTCTTCCCACCTGTTTCTCCCAGATGTCCAAAGCTAACCCAGCCCCTTTTATATTTTGCAGGGCTAACCTTTTCCCTATGCTCTGGACCCAAATGCCTTCCACGTCCTTTAAAACTTGTTTACTTCCCTTATTCCCTCGCAGTCTGGCTCCTTCCTCCATCCTAGGTGACCGGTGGGTGCAGACATTGACATTCATATAAGAACACGGAGGAGGTGCAGGTGGGAAGAGATGAGCTCAGTTTTAGCCAACTTAAAATAGAGTCTGCAGAGCCTGTGGGACACAGAGGAGGTATTTGGGGACCCAGGGTTGGGGAACTATGGGTAGATATGGGATCTGAAGACACTGACAGTGAAGAGTTCAACTACAGTTCACCTAGCATAGACTCTTATGTGACCGTTAAACAGAATGAGGTTCAGTGAAGTGAACTCATAGGGAAACCTGCCCACAACAAATGAGACGAAGGATGCCGAAGAAGGCTAAGAGAAGTGTGGAGCCAAACTTGCATTTAAAGCCTGGCACTGCCACTTGCTATGTGACCTTGAACCGATTACTTAACGTTACTCTGTACTTTGGTTTCCCAATCTACAAAGTGGAGATAAGCAATAATACATACTTCTGTTTAATGTGAAGATTAAATTAATCCACATAAAGCACTCAAGCCAGACTTGGTGGCTCACTTCTATAATCCCAACACTTTGAGAGGCTGAGGCAGGAGGTTCACTTGAGCCTAAGTTTGAGACCAGCCTTGGCAACAGAGCAAGACCTTGTCTCCACAAAAAAAAAAAAAAAAAAAAAAAAAAAAATTAGCTGGGTGTGGCAGGGGTCAGTGGCTCACACCTGTAATCCCAGCACCTTGGGAGGTGGGCGGATCACTTTAAGTCAGGAGTTTGAGACCAGCCTGGCCAACATGGTGAAACTCTGTGTCTACTAAAAATACAAACATTAGCTGGGCGTTGTGGTGGGAGCCTATAATCCCAGCTATTCGGGAGGCTGAGACAGGAGAATTGCTTAAACCGGGAGGCGGAGGTTGCAGTGAGCCCAGATTGCACCACTGCACTCCAGCCTGGGTGATAAGAGTGAAACTCTTATCTCAAAAAAA